CACCTTAAAAACTAATTAAGATGCAGGGTTAATGCTGCTCTTAATACAAAGAGTTTCATTGATTAAAATGACAGATTATATGAAAATTTCTGACGTAATTATTTTGAACCATCGATTAAATAACCTTCGGTCCCTAAGTGTACATCAGCTGTTACAAATCCAATTCAGATGACACAAACAGTCCAATATATTTAACCCTGTGAAGGGTACTTTCTGGTTAGGATAAGCACCAGGTCCATATAGCGATTACTGACAAAAAGGAGAGGACTGTTTGAAATTTTGCTATATTAATTAAACCAATATATGTCTAGTGCATGCAGTACTTAAAATGAGGTATTAGGTAGCCTAATCTTATTTATCAAGCATATGCATTTCTCTACTGGTATGCAAAAGGCCAACTGTGTGAGTAGTCCAAATTCGTTATTATTATTTTTAACGTTGATTGATTATGATATTACAATTATATGAAAGATTACATAGATGATTTGATAACCGATAATACTATCTGTCTTATGATGAATTACACATAACCGTATCACTTGAGTCATCCTATAAAGATTCACGTCTTATAATGATCTACACCTAACTGTATCACCTGAGCCGTCCTATGAAGATTTACGCTTGGCCGACTTGTACCATGTTGAAAATCTCTCGTAAGTATTTTTTTTGTATCCAGCATAATTGTTTAATAAATCGCACTTTCATCGGAGATTAAAACCTGGACCTACTGATATATAAGTATTAATGAACTCTTAATCAAATCAATGCAGTAAAGGAGCTTCCAGAATTCGTTATTATTAAAAGAACTTTTGGGGTCGTTATAAGAAATTGGAATTAGACACATAGGACTAGCATCTTGAAGCTAACAAATCAAAACTGGGATGGTAAATACAGTGTTTGGTAAGAAATGAATGTAAAGGAAAACGATTGTACATATAAAAAAGAAACGAAAAACCAAATACATAAACAAAACATTCCACTATATGTTTTAAAAATAAAATAGTACATAATATAGCATTTTAAAAAAAACCTTGCCTATACCACTTATCCAACTCCGAATGGGACTATGCACTTGTCTTTTTCTTCGCTGTTGTCATGAATACACCTGTTTTAAGTTAAACAGATACATTCAAAACAATTTAGGCGTGTAAGCCCATTGAGTCTATTAAACTTCGAACACATCCAGACGGCCCAAAACCATAACCCACAATATGCCAAGAAGAAGGCAACGTTGCATTATTAAAGTGTCTACATATGTAAAACATTATGAGACCCATGCCGTTTTAGGCTAATGTTGCATTCCATTTAGGTTCATTCGAATTCTGAAGCAACAAACTTTATGATGGTGATTTAAGCGTATACTTACAATCTAAGGTGGAAGATAATGGAAATATGGATTAAAAAGGAAAATGTGGAGTTCGAATTGTAGTGGAATGGGCATAAGCAATGGAATCATCTGCTTCTTGCCACTAATAATATAAACTAGCAGTGGCGAATCTACAGCCATAAAGGGTGGGGCATCTACCGCATATGAATTTTATGAAAAATGTATTTTTTTTTACTATTTATAACAGATTTTGGGAATTTTGGTTAAGTTTCCCCCCCCCCATCAAAACTTAAATATAGGATTGAATGTTATTCTTTTCTAACATTTGAAAATTTTGCCCCCCATAATAAAACTTTCTAGATCTGCCAATGTAAACTAGGATAATACATGCGCCTTACGCATGGTGAATGTATGTAATTAAAATATAAGATTTTAGTATTCACAAATTTAAAATTTACATATGATTGTTTTTATATGTATTTAGAATTTTGGAATTTTTATATAATTATGTACACGTAAGATCATAAACAATTTTAATTAAACTGTAGATTAAAACTTATAATGTATATATCTTTACACTTTTCAATGTTCGAGAGATGGAAAATAAACGGAGTGTCACATGGATTAATTGGTAGAGCATTATCAAGTTTTCTTAATGTTTTATTAAGAAGCAGTTGGTAGAATATCCGCATTTAGAATATATAAAGTTTCAAAACTAATTTAATATAATTTATTTAGTTGTCTAATAATATCAGAAAATTATATTTTTCAAAATTATTTTTTAAATAAAAATAATTTTATAAAAATTAAGATAAATTTTAAATTATAATTATGTTAAAATAAAATTATTTATTAAGATATATATATATATATATATATAATAACATAAACACCTATTAAAATAAAATTATTATTCATATGATTTTATAATCCTTGTAACTTATTATAGAAAAAAAATTTAGACCTCGATCACAAAAGTTTATGTGCTATTTTTAACAGTTTTAGTAATTTATATTCATTTTGAAAATTTCAAAATACAACTTATATTAAAAATCTAATTTTTATTATATGATTAGTGTAGTTTTGTAATTTATTTTAATAATAAAAAATTAAACAAAAAATGATATAAAGTATACAGATTGTTAATAAATATTTATTATTTAAAATCATTAATAGTCATATATATCTTAATCACATTAGGTAATTTGGTAAGTTTTATTTAAGGAAATAATATATAAGAGATTTTGTTTAATATGTCTTATATGAAACCAACAGACTTTGTTCTAAAAATATGTTTTATATAAGATGCTCTAGAATTCTTCTAAGTAGAATTTTATAGAGAACTGCCACATAAGATGAGATTTTTTTAGTTAATACAAACTTAAGGTTATAACTTTTTATATGATCTTCAATTAATATATAGGGGGTTTGGTGTGTGCATTTAAATCAAACATTTATTCTTATTTATTAACAATCATTTTATGATAAATTAATCAACACAATCAATTTTATCCATCATATATTATATTTTTTTTGGCGTCCCATCATATATTAAATACAATTAAATTTAAATGACATTAACAATATCTATAATATATTTTAAATATAGATGTTTAGTAAATGAATTTTCTTATTATAAATTTTTATGATTATCAATATATTTTTATAACAAAATTTTGAACTATTAAAAATTGAATGAAAATTGTAAAATTAAAATATTAGATTCTCAATATTTTTCAATGAAAATATCAAAATATAATCATGTATTTTATATTTTATGTAATTTGATTTAAATTATATATATATATATGTATTAATATAAACATATTAAATAAAACGTCTTACTCATGTATTTTATAATTATCTGTATCTTATAATAATAAAAATTTAAACCATTGATCACAAAAAGTTTATTTGAGATATTTTACAATTTAGTAATTTACCCATTTTCAAAACTTCAAAATACAATATATACGAAAAATATAAATTTTTATTATATAAATAATGTAATTGTGTAAATTATTTTAATAACAAATATTTAAACAAATATGATAGAGGGTATACATATTGTTAGCAAATCTTTATTAATGAAATTATTAATTGTCATATATTTTTAATCACATTAAGTAATTCCGTAGCTTTTATTTAAGGAAAGAATGAATAAAAAGTTTTTAATATTAAGAAGATATGTGACTAACATCTAGTAAATATATGTTTAAACTATGGTATATATAAAGTGTTCTAGAATTGTGCTAAATAGAATTTAGAAGACAAGAGACATGTCACATATGATTAGAGTTATTTTTAATTAATATAAACTTAAAGTTACAATTTTTTAAATATCTTCAAATAATATATAGGGGATATATATTTTTTGGTCATTTTGTAAATTTTATTAGTAGCTCACTAGCTAGTATTCTAATTATGTGTAACCGGTTTGAATCCGGTTGAGTTGACGACAGTCCTTTTTTTGTTCTTCTAGTGTATATTTCTTCTGGTTTATATGGTTACTATTGAAGCTTGAGGTCTACCGAGACTATCTTATACTGATTTTGTTTTGAAGGTTTCTTAGTGTATAGCTATAAAACTTCATAGTTTCAGGATTGATATTATTGTGGCTCAGTGACTCAGTGTAATCATTTATGGATTGATGTTTTGTTGCTAATAGCATGTACGATTCAACCTTCTTAACCCCGTAACATGGTGTCAAACAACTCATCGAAACTTTGTAAGAGCATCTTCAACCCCACTCCATAATTTATTGCAAAATGGAGTAGAGAATGGAGTAATGAATAAACAAAAAAGTGAATATTCTATAAATGGAGTAATCATTTTTTTGTTTGTTCACTACTCCATTTTCCTTTCCATTTTACAGTAAAATTATGGAGTAGAGTTGGAGATACTCTGAATTCTACATCCGGTTGCAAATATCAGTTGAGTTGACTTTCAATAATTATATGTTCCCTCTTTACCTTAGAACCGACTTTCATTATTACCATTTGCACCCTTACCCTAGAACCGACTTTCAAAACTTCAGATTTGTTTGCAATGTTGACTAATGACTAATAAAAATAGAAGAAATAAAGGAGTGAAGATAATAGCGAATAGAAAAATAAAGGAGTCAGATGATTGTTCTTGGTTGCTTTAGTGAGTCCTTAGCCTCCAATCCTTAGCACTTTTAGAATAAAAAAATATAATCTGAGCTTGATTTAGTAAGGATCAATCCTTGAGCAAGGATTTTAAGGATCAATCCTTAGTGACATGGCAAATTTTTACTTCTGTGTTTTTGGGTTGTGCATAGAGACAACGGATCCAATCAACGAGACTTGTGTGAGGATTCTTCAGATTTCGATGTATTCTTGATTCATCTTGTCTCTTCAGGTAAACAAAGTTCACGATTTTTCCTTCTGGGTTTCTTCTTCTCGACCTTGTAGCTTCCGTCATTTTTTATTTAACTTCATCTGTGTTAAAAGTCTTTACCTTTACGCAGTTGTCCACCAAGTGTTCGTTGAAATTCCACAGAGAGTGGGAATTGGAAGTTTTTATAGAGATGAAAGATTTTCCTTCTTGCTTTGGTGAAAAGGGAGTTCAAATTGCGGATTCATCGTCTTCAAACTCCGGGAAGAACGGTCAGAATCTGGTTACTTGTATCTACCAGTAGTGCCTTCGAGGAATGAGTTGTTTGATCACTGTGACGTGGGCCAAGACTCTGATGGGTCAGAGTGTGACCGTTGGTGTTGATGATTCTTGTAACCAGAGTCTCTGTAGTGTCGAGATTACATCAAATGAGCGTCAAACAGATTTCTATCACGATGTCCCACCTCTAGGTGAGTTTTCTCTCTTCATTTCCAATCTTCCATCTCTATTTTTTTTTTTTATCTGACTTTTTCTTTTCATGATTAACAATGGATCTCTATATATTCTATGTTTCTGTCATGTTTGATTTCGAAAATGCAGATCATTTCGTTTTGTACTATATAAAATGCTTGTGTGCTCTGTTCATAGATTCGAAAATGCAGATTATTTGTTTTCTGTCATGCTTGTTCTCTTGTACTATATAAAATGCTTTGGATCTCTATAAACGTTTTCGAATCTATGAACAGATAAAACACATTTTAATTAGTAATTTCTTTTGAATTCGATTTGGTTTCTGCTCAACCTTTGTAGTGCTTATTGGTGATATGATCACAGAGGAAGCACTCCCAACTTATCAGACCATGATTAATACATTGGATGGTGTTAGAGATGAGATTGGAGCAAGTCCTACTCCTTGGGCAGTGTGGACAAGGGCTTGGACTGCTGAAGAGAACAGGCATGGTGATCTTCTTAACAAGTATCTTTACCTCTCTGGAAGAGTAGACATGAGGCAGATTGAAAAGGCCATTCAATATCTAATTGGTTCTGGAATCGTAAGCTCTTATAATAACAACATGTTTACTTTTATGTTCTGCTATAGTCTAAGCTGCCTTGATTTGTTTTGTTTGGTTCTTTAGGATCCAAAGACTGAAAACAACCCTTACCTTGGTTTCATCTACACATCTTTTCAAGAGAGAGCTACATTCATCTCTCATGGAAACACTAAACTTGAGTAGATTTGCGGCACTATTGCTGCTGATGAGAAGCGTCATGAGACTGCTTACACCAAGATTGTAGAAAAGCTTTTTGAGATTGATCCTGACACTACTATTGTAGGCTTTGCTGATATGATGAAGAAAAAGATAGCCATGCCTGCTCATTTGATGTATGATGGTCGTGATGACAATCTGTTTGAGCATTTCTCTGGTTACGAAAGTTTTATAAACGCATGTGTGGTGTTTGTGTTTGCAGTTGGGTGATGTGATGGATTACTCGTTGCTAGTAGGGGTAGATGAAGAAAATAACGAGTTAGTTCTCGGGATCATCGACTTCTTGAGGCAGTACACATGGGACAAACATCTAGAGTCTTGGGTGAAATTTACTGGAATCTTAGGAGGACCAAAGAATGAAGCACCAACAGTAATATCTCCAAAGCAATACAAGAGAAGATTCAGAAAGGCCATGACTACTTACTTCCTCATGGTTCCTGATCAATGGTCTCCACCTAATGTCATTGCTAATAACTCCAGGTCTGATCAACCAGAAGAAACCTCTCAAGCCGGTACACAAGCAGAGTGAGACATGAATCCTCATAATATCAAAGTATTTTTTTGTCTTGTATAGAAATTGGTTTTTGTGCATTGGGGATCACTATTCTTCGGTTATGATTCTTCCTTCATTGGTTTCTCTCTTGTAGAGTTTTAGGAGATTGTCTGAGTTTTCATCAGAAAGATTGTGAGATTATTTCAATTATTATACTGTAAAGAATGACATTGTCTTGTGTATATGAGATTCTTTTTCTTTTACATGTTTGATGCTGGACACATTCATGTTTATGTTCTTAACAAGAATGATGCAAATCGCTGCTTCATTCACAGCTTCTTTTTTTCTGTTCATTCTTATTCAAGATAGCCTTTTGCAGAGAACAGATTTTGATTTCTTATAGTCAAAACTGCTACATTTGATCATCATTGGCTCATGTTGTGAAGCTATTTCTTGTCTTTGACCATCATCCTTCTGTGCAACTCGCAGTTCCTGATAACTTCTATGCAAAAGATCAATAATCTCCACATCTATGTTTCTATTACCAAATTCAATAATTAAAAACCTTGAAACAAGATTAATCTGATGGTATTTTTATTGGGATTTGGGAGTTATAATAGTACCTTGAGTAAGAAGCTACCATTGGACTCTCTGGGGGACAACGAGGACCATCATCATACCCTTCACATATAAGGTCTCTAGTCGCATCTTTTAACATATGAATCTCATATGTTTAGTTTACATTTCCGCATGTACGATCTAGCTGTTCTAAGATCAGATAATGTCTACTTATTTTATTTTATTTTATTTTTGATTTTAGGTTTTGTTACGGACTTCACTAGGATCTATGTTTCCTTCTTCTTTTCTATGTCAGGTATGATTTCTGATCTAGCTGTTGGTTGTTGGATGGGGATGTATTTGATACTCTTACGTAGTTAATTGCTTTTAGCAGAATGTGATACACCTTTATTTTTGTAACATTATTAAGTAATGAATTCACTATCCCCAAAAATTTGAAATTGTGTCAATATGTAGCACAAAACAAAAATGTCCTCGTTTCTTGAATTTCAGTAAATTTCATATGACAGAATAAAACAACACTAATAATATAAAGGGACACTGATATAAATCCAAAGAATAAAAGATACTAAAAAAACCAAAACAAACTTTGAGTTCGTTAATAGAAACTTGGCTGATACGGCACTCCCGTCGCAGGTAACCAATCTTTCCCATCGATAAAGGCATCAACTGTAAACCTCCCTGCCTCGCTAGCAGACATACTGGGCTTATACCCGGCCCAGTCAACTCTCTCAGTCAGGCCCGCTCCAAGCCCAGAATTCTTATACTCTCCATACAATATAGTCGACGGTGGATCAACCCCAGTATCCCACCTCAACCACCCTGCGGCCCCCACAAGCGGTCCAATCTCCGACTCCATAATCACCGTTGTAGAATACTGCTTCCATGGACGGCCAAGATACGTCGCAGCGGTTACGTTTCCGTTGGCTGTGATCGTGCATCCCTGTATCACGGTACCAGAGTTCTGCTTCTCTTCGGTTCTGCCCTGAGCGGTGATTGTGTTGGATTGCTTAGGAAGTGGCTGACGTGGTCGAATGGTGCAGCTCTGGAAGATGACGGCGGCGTTACCGAAAATGAAGTCGACTGTGCCAGTGACGTCGCAGTCACGGTAGAATTGACGCTTGGCGTGAGTGTAGAGAGTGTCTTGGTAACCGTCGAATGAGCATTGGTAGTAGACTGACTGGTCGGAGTCTGAACGGAACGCCACGGCTTGGGATTTTTCTGGTCCGGCTGTGTTTATGATTCCTATGTCCTTCATAATGAAGCCTTTACCTTGGACACCTGCATGGAGAAAGTGAACAGTAAATAAGTTGTGAAGTAGCCAAAAATATACTTCAATCTGTTCGTAATGTAAAATGTTAATGTATAAAATCACAAAGATCAAAAAAATATATTTATTTCTAAAAATGTCACTGAACAAATCAAATAAATTAAAATTTACTTCATCTGTTCATAATGTAACATGTTAATGTATAAAATCACAAAGATTGAAAAAATAATTATTTTCTAAAAAGTCATTGAACATATAAAATAAAAAAAATGTAAAATATGATTAATTAGTTTTTTTCAGTAAAATTACGATTGGCATAGAAATATCAAAAAAAAAAAATCTCACATTTTGAAACATTCAAAACTATTTAAAATATTATATAAGAAAGTAATTATTATCATTAGAAACTATTTATAAACCGTGATTTGTTTTGAATCAGTTTGGTTCAGTTCTATAAACACAAATCAAAGTATAATAGATACATAAAGTAAAATAGCAAACTGATAAGCCTAAGATTTGGTTGGGGACACTGTGGATTCAATTAGGTCTGTGAAAAGTCTCATCTCGTGAATTTACTAAATTAAGCTACATTATAAAAAGTATCTAAATTAACAATGAGCCTAAAAACATGTAGTATCTACCTAAATGAGAGTTCTATAAGTAAGAGAAATTAAAGTTACCCAATGTAGCCGTATAGTAGGTTTTAATCCCATCAACGCCGAAGTTCTTGCTACCAGAAATAATGGTCTTGTCTTTACCGTCGCCGTAGATCATAACATTCCACATGCTCTTATCCATAACAACATTCTCCACATACGTACCAGCTTTCACGTATATAACAAACGTTGCGTTCGACTTCTTAGGGATCTTTACCACCGCCTCGTTAACCGTCCACACATCACCAGATCCATCAGCCGCCACCGTCACGTTAGGCGTTACACTCTTCGCCGCAAGTAACCGTCGCACCCTAGGGCTCACCCAAGATGGGAACGAGTTTGAACTCAGTAGCCGTCTCCTGTGAATAGGGATATTAAAGTCGCTCAAGGTAGAGAGGATCTTAGCCACTATGACTAGACTGTTGCTTGTGAACTCGGTGGAGTTTCTCATGGCTGATGTAAGATTCTGCGAGACTATAGAAGTCTTGCTCTCTGTCTGGTTAGGGCTGATCTCAGCGAGTGTGTCGAAACATGTCTCGTAGTATGTTATGGCCGCGGTGAGCCACGTCTTGAGATCGTCTATCTTACCAGAGGTCAAGATGTTGTTACCGTCTCCAACATCCATAGCGGAAACTGTCTCGTTGACACTATCCAACGCCACGTCTAGCATCTCTCCACAAACACTAAGCGCTGATTTGATTCCTTCATCGTCAGTCTCTTCAGCTAGCTTCCTAGGCAAGTCGGAGATCGAAGCGAGCTCGTCAACGACCACCTTCAGGGAAAGTTTAAAGATAACCTCAGGATCGGTCGTGTTGGATGATGGAATCTTGGAGATGCTTGAGATACAAGCATCAGGGAACCGAGTAACGCTACACACGTTCTTGAGCGAAGCGGCTGGAGTCAACTCTGGAGTTGTGTTAGGCGACGAACCATGTGAAGAGTTTCTCTGGTTACGAGCAACGGCGACGGAACCGCCGATGATAACACCGAGCAGGATCACGACGGAGGCAGCCACAAGAAACAAACGTTTGTACGCCTTTTTCTTCAAGGCTATTTCTTGAGCTTCCTCATCTACTTTGAAGTATCCTTTGGCTGATGATTTGGGAGTATCCATAGAAACTAATATCAAACGTTTCTAGGGTTTTTGGTTTTTTTTGTGTGTTTAATCGAACCACACAAGAGAGGTTTTGGCTATTGAGTAAGTGATGATGTGGCTTTATATTAAGAGTGTAATGTGAATATTTCTTTAGCTCTACGCGTAAATTCCTTTTATGGAAGTGATGATTCATGGTTTGCTGTCACTAATTAATTTAAATTTATCTTCATTTGATAGTTTCCTTCTTCAGTCTTTACCGTATTTTATTGAATATTGTACAATCAATGCAAAATATTCCACTAAAGCTAGCAACATATCATAATAAATTACATGGGTTAAAATATTGAATGCTCAATTAAAAAAAAAAGGTAAGAGTTCTTCGAAGTCTAATGACATTTTCCATGTCTCTTCATCAATGTATATTTGTAGTTATTTATACTGTGGTTACTTGTTTGGATTTTAATGGCCGAAAGGTCTTCGCAATATTTTTGTCTGATTTGAACATTTCAATGCATGCTTATGTTAATGATATGATTTATGTAAGATATATCCTAGTATTTGGTATTTTAAGACTTAACCTTTTGAATGCTTTACTATATGGAAATTGTAAATCTTTAGGATAATAATTGAGTGGTGTAACTAATGAGATATTATGATGATCTCACATTAATTTTGGGATCAACTTCTTGCAGAATACTAAAGAAGTTTTGCTGTCTAACTTGTACATATATCGTTTATAGAAATAGCGTGTTCAAAGAATATCTAGTTCTACAGAGGTTCATTGGTTCATTTTCCTTTATTGGAGGGTTTATTTTGTCTGCAATACAAATGTGTGATTCCGGGATAATTGATAGCTGCTCTAGGTTCTGTAGACAGCTAAAAATACCCAAAAAATTTCCAATCAAACTTTGCTTTATTGTTTTAGAAAACTTACCGCTAACTTTCCTTTCTTTAATTATTTTGGCTGTAAATACTACTTTATTGAAAAAAACTCTAGAAATTTTAGTGAGATTTTCATTTAAAAATCTTACCAAAAATTATACAACTTTAATTTACAACAACAACAAAAAAAAAAATCAAAAGTTACAACTTCTACCAAACAGGTCAGCTAGAAAGTCAATTTATGAATTATATGGTCTCTCCAGGCCGAGTTGGGATTTGGCCCAACATCATTCCCTTAGCTAGTTTTCAGTACTACGATCTAGACAAAATTGAATATAATACACAACGCAAGCAAACAACATTATGATTCATTTATTAAATCAATAATTATTCGACCAACAACAACACCATGTAGAAATAAACAACAATAACATCTCAAAGACCAAGAGAGAAAGGGAAACCAGTCGAAGCTAACCAGCCTCCACCACCAATAAACTGACCAGCCGTATATGGCTCAGCTTCAGCAACATCTGTTATTACCTTAAAACCATTCCACTTAACTCTACCTCCAGTTCCAGCTCCTGCTCCTGTGTTCGCATACTCTCTGTAAGTCAGAGTGCTCAACGCAAAAGTCCCACTCCACTCGAACCACCCCTCGGGTCGGATCACGTCAGAGATATCCGACTTCATTATCACCGTCTGCGAATATTCCTTCCACGGCCGACCAAGATACGTAGGAAAGCTACTTTTCACGGACATTAAATCCGATGTGGCACCAATCCGACAGTTCTGGATAACTATTCCAGTGTTTTGGTTAGGGTCAGTCCTTCCTTGGGCCGTGACCATGTTTTTCTGGCCGGAGTTTGGTCTACGAGCGTGGATGTCACAGTTTTGGAGAACCACGGCGGCGTTTCCGAAAATGAAGTCGACGGTTCCGGCGATGAGACAGTTGACGAAGAACTGACGGTTAGAGTGGACGTAGAGAGTGTCTTGGTAAGCTAACATGTCGCATCGGTAGAAAGCGGAGAAATCAGAACCGACACGTAGAGCCACCGCTTGGTGCTTCGATGGACCGGCCGTGTTCTGGAAAGTGATGTCACGCGCTAAGAATCTCTCGCCGACGGCAGCTAGGTCCCATAAAAGAAAACATTAGTTAGTTTAATGGGAATCTCATTAGGTTTAAAAGAAAACATTAGGTTTAGAAAAGAACGCATGCTTGTTTTGCGGGAATCTCACTTTAGTTTAACGGATATATGCTTTTATTTTCTTAAAAAAATTTCAAAAATAAAAAATGTCATGCAGACTTAAAATGAAGGGAAAATTTCATATAAATACCCCAACTAAATTCTATTAAGCTTTTAAATACCCAAACTTTTTCACAACCCAGTTTAATACCTCAACTAATTATTCTGTCCATTTTAATACACAACTTTTATAACTGTATATATTTTAATACTCAAAGTTTATTTATTTTAATTAACAATACTAATAAATTTCAAACGAAATTTTAAAAAATCTCCAAAATCTAAGAAAAATATTTAAAATTTCTAAGTTTATTTGAAGATTTAAGAAATAAGGTAAACAAACTCTGTAGAAAATTTAATGTTTAAAAAAAAAGTTTTTGAAGGAAAAAAAATAATTTACTTTTTATTTCAAAAAAACAAACTAATTTCAATTTATAAAACTTAAAAAACTTATTACAAAACTTAAGATTATAAAAAAATTATTTAATTTTGTTACTCAAACATATAATAAAATTACTTTTTTTGTGAAGTTTAGACATTTTTAAAATTTCATTGGAAACTTATTAGTATTGTTAATTAAAATAAACAAAGTTTGAGTATTAAAATGGATACAGTTATAAAAGTTGATGTATTAAAGTGGGCAGAATAATTAGTTGAGGTTTTAAACTGGGTAGTGAAAAAGTTTGGGTATTAAAAAGCTTAATAGAATTTAGTTGGGGTATTTATATGGAATTTTCCCTAAAATGAATATCATAACGCACCATTATTAGTATAAGTATTCAGAGGGAATATCTAAAATAAAAAATAAAGATGAAAATAACAATATGTGAGATATCATGAAGAGTTAAGATATTTTTGTAAAAGTATCTTAAGTGAGATATGTGAAAATACTTTAAACTTCTGAGATACTTTTATAAATTTTCTTCACTTTTGAAATATTTAAAAAATAAATACTCTATATTATCTTACTATTTTTAGATTTTTAGATGTTTGCATTAATGGTGCTCTTAAGTGTACTGACACTCGGCGAAATGATGTGACCAATGTAAATAATGGACAAGATCGGATTGAAAAGTCAAGAGCAACAAAACAAGAAAGAAAATAAGGTAGGAAAGAGAAAAGCTAATCTAAGTAAAGGCTCTCCCCACGAGTGGATGGAGCCATAAACCCAATCTACATAATGTGACCTGGCAAAGCATATGAATTAAAGCCAAGAAAACCAATGGACTAACTAACATTTTGTTTGATGATGGTAATTCAAATTCAAATTTAGTTTTATCTCGTTACTAGGCTAGGTCTGTGAATCATCTACTGTACTTGTAGTGGATAAATTAATAACTAAGACCATCGTGACGTTAAAAAAAAACTAATAAGGAGTTTCCCAAATTTCATTTTTACAGTTTAAAGTTAATTAGCTGATTAAGAATAGATTCTCTTCCTATAGCTTACTTTTACATTTTTCTTCATTATTTTATTTTTAAAAACTGAATTCTCCATTGCCCATGCCCTAAAAATCTACATGAGTCTACCTAACGTACAAAAAAATAATATTTTCCGCCACAGTAAATGCCGCATCGTGCAAACTAAGTATTTTAAACTCTTTTTTTTTTATTTATCAAAATAGTATTTTAAACTTTAAAAAGAACTAGTAACTAAAATTGCTTACCAACGGTGGCAGAGTGAAAGGTGGTGCTACCGTCCACGACGTTTCTACTTGCGGTAATAATAGTCGTTGTCCGACCATCTCCCATAAACATTATATTCTTTTTCTTCTTGGGCACGTCCACATTCTCTCTATAAACTCCAGCTTTTATATGTATTACATACCTCTTATTACTATTCTCTGGGGCCGCCGCAACCGCAGCCGCCACAGTGGTGAATGTACCGCTACCATCAGCCGCCACGGTAGCATCGGCTTCCACTGTAGACCCTTGAAGAAGCCTCCTATCTCCTGCGGATAACCAAGTCGGCCACCCCTCGGCGTCTAATTCTCCGGCGCTAGCAATATCTACGGCAACCGTAGTCTCCTCCTCCTTGAGTTTACGGTTGTTTGAGGTGAGTTTAGCTTTTAGCTCGAAATTGGCTATATCGGTATCAGTCATGTTCTTGATCATTGCTAGTGCGTTGCTGCACATGTGCTCTACGTGCATCTACACATAATTATTTCGTTATATAATGCTGTATTTTGAAAACAATCGCGTTATAGACAAGTTTATAGAATTAAATGTCTACCTAATAACAGCAATTCATACATATGGACCAACACTAGCTAACAACATTTCACCGTACCAAAATAAATATTAAAATATGTCAAAGTGGTGTAATGGGATGTTACCTTATCTACAAGTGTTTTTGGCACTATATAGTATATAGTATATACATTTTAAAAAAAAACTAAATACGTAACCCCACGATTAAATAACCGAATAGTGATGCCATTTCAGACTCAATAAATTTAGTGAACCAAAACAAATGCACGTCATCAACATTTGTAAATTTTATTTCAAAATAAAATTTTTAAATACTCTCACTATATCTTATACATTCCACATTTATCTATTATTTTTAATTATTGTCCAGTTCTAAATGAGAGCCGTAATGGGTAAAGAAACTGATGCTTTATACGTACCTGACCCTTCAACAAGGCCTTACGGACATTCTTGTCGGCGCGGTCATGAGAGAAGCCGTCTAAACAAGTTTCCTGGTTGGTAATGGCGGAGCTAATTAGTGTTTTGAGATCACCGGCGTGTTCCCGGAGAGACTTTTTGTTAGGATACAAATGGAGATCTTCCACCGCCTCGTGAAGCTCATCGAGCGTCACATCAATAGTCTCTAAACAATCATGAAGAGCCGTCTTCTCACGAGGAGTTAGTCCTTTCCTATTCTTGATCAGCTTCTTCACCGTGAAGTAGTTGTGTTCAACGGCAATTTTCGTGAGGTTTAGGGAAGCCTCAATGACGTCTTTCTGCGACGAAAGCTTGACTCCACTGGAGGTGGCCACGGAGGAGAAGCATAGCTCAGGGTAACGCGTGGAGCTGCAGGCGGATGTTAACACGGCGTGAGAGGATGGAGATAGAGTTATTTTTCTGTTTTCGTTGGTTTTTGAAGCTCCGATGGTGATTCCGGCGACGGCGGTTACGAGGAGTAAGGCTACGGCGGCGGATAGTGAAACGAGTTTCTTATGTTTTCTGAAACTATCTTTGGAGAAGATTTGTTTGATAGATGGTGCCATTGTTTGAGACTGATGGGTGAGTGGTGAATGTGGAAGAGTAGGTGTTTATATTGATATCAGACACGGGATTTTTAATGGCTTTCTTTTCTCTAACATTTACTTTTCCTAATTCTATATTATTTGAGTGGGGTTATACCGTTATAGTAAAAGGAAACATGTTTTAAAGGCGCTCCATTAATATATTCATGCACATATAAATATTTATAGAGTAAATATATTATTAATATTTGGTTTTAATTTTAAATTAATTTATATTTTATATCAGTAACTTTTATTTTAATCAAACATATAATTTTATATATGTTATTATATCTAGTCGGATTGATTTTTTTTTTTAATCATTTTTTGTATCAATAATCGATTTGGTTAACATTTGCTTATACTGGTTTGCATCTATTTCTTTTGTAGTACTAAGCAGAAAACACGAATCCGAACCGAAACCGACTTGATAAAAATAAATTCGAACTAATCCGAATCCAACATAAATACTGAATGGATCTTGTTTTACGATATTCCGGATTATGGGTTTTATCCAAACCGAACCTGGACTTATAAATGAATATCCGAACAAACTCGAAATTTTAAAATTTCAAAAAAATTTGTACCATACCCAATCTAAATTTATAACATGTTTCAAAACACATAATATACTATTGACTACCTACAATATTTAGTTATTATATGAATAATTGACTCAAATATATAGTCTAATATATAGTTTTATTTGGTTAATATTAATGTTCATAATTGACATTACATTTGAAATTGACTTACTTATAAATTTCTTTGAAGTTTAAATAATGCTATTGTATTTTATTTTAAATAATATTTCATACGTTTATAGAATTGTTAATTGTTAACTTTAACTTCCTATGATTTATTATGTATGATTTTTGTTTATACAAAGTTTTTGTTTGTCATTAATCATGATATGTTTAGTATTAGTTCAATGACAAATCTTATATGGTTGATAGACAAGTTTCAAAAAATTATTTTAAAGTACAACAATATGGTTTGAAGAAGGTAAACACACAAATTTAAATAAATGAATAAAATATATTGAGTTTAGTCTAATATAAATTAATATTTTTAGAACTGATAATCCGATTAGTATCCAAAATTATTTCGGGTTCAACTGGATCTTAGACATGTTACTAAACACGAACTGAACCCAACTAAATTCGAACTGAATCTGACCCGAATTTCGGTAATATCCGAATGTGGCTAAAATTTATGAACCCCCAAACCCGAAATCCGAATGAACCCGAACCGAAACCCAAGTGGGATCTCGATATCCCAACCCTATTTCTTAACATCCAACTGTAATATTTTTATTCTAAATATATTATTCTTTTGATTAATTTTCTCATTTGTATTTGAGTTGGTTGTTATCGTAGGTATGTAAATATATTTTAGAAAATTATGTATAATTTAATATATATATATATATATATTGTATAACGAAATAAAAAATAACTAAAGTGTTTGATTCAAAATTATATAAATGAATATAATCATAATATTCTGAAATTCAAGCATATATAAAATTTTACGAGATAACTAAATTGTAACAATTGGTTAATATGTTATTTTTATTAGTTAATATATTTTGAGTCATCCAGTAATTTATATATATAAAGAAATAAATAGAATTTTCTTATAAAACTAAATTTTTGATTTTAGATATAAGTTGGACTAGTCTGTCTCTCATATTGTAAGTATTTTAAATTATATATATTCTTTCAAATTCAAACTGATGTATATATTTTTTTATTTTAATTAAGTAAAATTAAATTAGTTTTATTTATCGATTAAATGTATATGTATTTTCATAATATTTTAATAATTTATTGATATATGTTAGCTTAAATAATATTAAAACATAAAATGCCGATGAATAGAAAAATAGATACATATAACTGATACATTTTTGGAAGCTCATGAACACATTCAATAATGAAAATATTTGATAGATTCTTAATAATTTTGTGCTTTAGATTTATTGAAAGGTATATGGAAAATTATTTCAAATAATCTTTAAAATGAGAATTCTGATTTGCTTGGATATCTTATACTACATAAGTGTATGCTCTGTTTTTAAAATAAGTGTATCTAAATAGATTTCAAATAAGTGCTGATTGGATAATAAAGATCTGTTTTTACAAATACGTTTCCAATCAAAGCTAAGCTGATTCCATCCAGAATTTTGTTAAAATCATATGCAAGTCTGCAACGAAATCACGACCGTAAGTTCAAAAAAAAAAAAAACGAAAAGACACATAATATCCTGTGTATTAGAACCTAACATATAGGCCGTAAATATAAATTTGTAACGGGCTCATTGGTTTTGTCAGCTATGGGCCGTATAACGTGCCGAATTTTCCAACTTCAGGGAATGCCGGAATCTTGGACTGAACCAACTATGTTTCTACAGATGGGACAAGAAGAGTGCAACTTAAGCCACGTCTCGATGCAATCGGCGTGGAACCAGTGATTACATGTCGGCAAAATCCTGGCTTTGTCTCCGTCTTCAATCTTGGAGAGGCAAACCACGCATTCGAGGCTGTCTTTGACGTCCCCCGAGTTGAAATCTACGACGGGTATTGATTGGAGAACGGAGGGTTTGATACCGGCCAGTTCCTTGATAGTGATAATGGTATGGTCATTGCCGGTAACACCATGATGGTGATGATCATTGTCGGCTTCATCTTCAACACTTTTGCAAGCCCAAGATACCACTCGACAGAGTCCATACAGAAGCATGCAATATGAAAAACCTAAAATTATTGATAAGCAATAATCAGAGTCGATCATCTTCATATCCCAGTTTTTGTTTGTTTGTTTGTGTGGTAGATAATTGATAACTTCAAGTAAGAGTTTTTTTTATATATAAAAGAAAACTCTGTTTTTTATTTATTTTGGTTTCATGAACTATTGACTCTTACTATTTTTATTAAATAGAAATTTCCTAAACTGGAATAACCAAAAATGTAAAAAACTAGAAATTTCCTAATTTCAAATTGTTAACTACACAAAACCTAGCTAATGACTTGGCTTCAACTCATGTGACCATCTTCTTCATTATCTTTCTTGATAAACACTCCACTGCGTTTATTCAGCTATTGTCCATGCTGGACAAGAATGATTGCGGTTTCATTAATCTGTACTGATGTAATCGGTTGCATTGCTTCGGCTATGAGCTTTCTACCTCTCGCACAATGATACTTGAGGCACTTTTTCTCTTTGACTCACTTGAATGTTCTGAGCTTGTTGCAATCGAATGCTTCACCAGTCACCAGTAGTTTCTACATGACCAGATATGCCATCAGCGACTCTCCTTTACTTGCGGCACAATCTTCATCCATGAATGGCAGTCTGCTCATAACTCTCACATTCTTAGTAACCTTAATTGCAACCCAATATATTCTGTAATATATCACATAATTTGGATTTGATTATATTGCATTCTTAGCAGGAAAACTATCCAAACAAAAGAAGAACAAAATACAAACTATTAATTTGGTTATTTCTTGTTCATGTTGTTTAGTTTTTAGCTTCAGCCAAGAAAAGAATCTAAATTACTAAAATCAAAAGTTTTATTATTCTTATATATTATTCTCGCATTGGTAACAACCAGAGGCTATTGGTCATATATATAGATGAAACCAAAAGAGACTTTTTGGTCAAAATGAAACCAAACCCAAAACTTCCAGAAGATTTGCTAGTATGAACTGAACTGCTTTTCTCACATAACATCATCCATGCCGTGTCTCTCTCCATCTGTTCCAGAAATAGTAAAAACTCCGCCGGCTCAGTCGGCGGATAAACTCTCTCTCTTTTGGCTGATGCAATAGAACCCATGAAAAAAAACCCAGAAGATTTGATGATTCTTAAGGTCAAAAACACGAAAATTTGCAAGGTTTTGCACCAACAGAAGAGAGAGGGAATCAAAAGTTTAGTGGAGAGAGATCATGATCACATGCAGCCACCAACACCAACAAAGCTTCAAGAAGAAGAGATGGAGAAGGAGATACATATACACATTTTTATGTAGAGGTTAATATAAAGGATGTGGACTCAAAGGGCTCTCTCTATTCATCGCCATGGATGTACCAACAGCAAAGCATGGTGGCGCAACGACGGACAATATAGAGACGAGCTCGTTGTTCCTTCACCAAGGAAACACATTTGCTTGTAAAGGCATGACCCTTGTTGAACTTTCTCTTGAATTCTGCCATGGGTTGAAAATTAGGGTTTATATTACTGATCAAAGATTGAGTGTTTTTAAGGTTGAGATTTTGGATGACCCAAGAAAAAAAAAACCTTTTGTGGGTGATGGAAGGGAGAGAGCAAATGTAAGACTTGCGATGAAAGAGAAAAGGATTTGAATAGTTTATATAGAGAAGAAAAAGAAGAAAGAGGTGTCGTAAATAAAAAGGAAGTGAGTTAGGAGGAGATGAACTTGGTCTTGATTTTCTTGGTTCATTGACATTGGGATTTGCATGGCTTGCTTTGAAAACTCCAAGGAACTATAGTTTCATGAAATTATAACTTTTGACACAAATCTTTTACTCTGTCATTGTCTAATCTATTATATTACTAGGTGATCTTCCCGTGCTCATGCACGGGCATAAATATTTATAAAATAAAAATTCATTTATATAATTTACATTAATAATATTGTATTACTTTAATTATATATATGATTTTAGATATGTTATATTTAGTTGATTTTTTTTTTTGTTTTTATAGTCAATTTAGCATTCAATATTGGACTCCATCTATTTCTCTGAAGTCAACTATAAAATTTTATTTTATTTTAAATATATTAAGTTGTTTGTTGTCTTAAAAATATTTCAATAATACTAATTATAATTATTATTTTCTGTTAATTACACATATATCAGTTTATGTTACTTAATTATTTTATGTATCTAAGAAAATAGATAGATATGTAAAAACAAATTTTATTACTTTGAAAAGATATATATTTTATTGTTTATAATTATTTTTGGTAAGAAAAAATATTTCTTTTTCTAATATCATGAAGATTATATGTGTGAATTTTTTTTTTATGAAATCACATTATCTACAAATATTTTTTTTTATCTAAGAAGATATAGATTTAAGGAAAGTATTTTATTACTTCAAAATTATATTTTATGTTATTTAAAATATATTTAAATTAAATATTACTATTTTGTGAACTTTCCATTTTTATGAAACCATATTTATATATACTTATATTTTCGTTTTTAAATAATTTTGTAAACTTTATACATGTTTCCTTTTTATTTTATATTGTTATTTAGAAATTTTTTAAGGAAATAATAATATTTAAATGTATTTTTAATTCATTAGGGGTATCATAGTAATCAACCAGCATGAAAGTTAACGTGAGCGTGACACATAAGAAAGTGACTTCTCAAATAATATTATAGAGATGGGCTACTAGTGTTAAAAAAAAGGCTACTAAATAACAAATCATTTGTTTATTTTATAAATAACAAACTTTGACAAATACAAGTCCATTAAGAAGTAGGAAAGATTCAAAAAAGTATATTACTTGTCATGTTCTCCATAAATTTGGATAATTTTATTTGTTTATGGTGTTTTTAATATTTATATATCTTTTTAAATTTATAAACAAAACGAAATTATATGAATATATCATGTTGTTATCTTGAAATATATTTTTATATATAAAACTTAAATTTTAGATTAAGATATAAAAATTATTATATTTATCTAAAACGAATTTCTATTAATAATTTAATATTTAAATCTATAATATTATTTGAGAAGTAAATTTGCTTAGTTGTCATGTTCTCCATAAGTTTAGGTATTTTTATTTGTTTATGGTATTTTTAATATTTATATATAATTTTTATTTATTAAAAAACGAATTTATATGAATATATCATGTTATTATCTTGAAATATATTTTTATATATAAAACTTAAATTTTAAATTAAGATATAAATACTATTATATTTATTTAAAAAATTTATATTAATAATTTACTATTTAAATATAACGAAAACGAATTTATATTAATAATTTAATATTTCTAAAATAAGATAATTATTATGTATTATGTTGTTATGTTGAAAATATATTTTTGTATTATAACGCTTAAAATTAAGATATAAAAATTATATTATTAATAATTAAATATAAATCATAATTTAATATAAATCATCAAAAAAATTATTTGAAAAGTGAATTTGTTGATTTGTCTCCATGATCCTAGTTTATTTTGATCATTTATCAGAATTTCTATAATTTTATTTATTATTTATTATATAATTTAAAGTAATTTATATTAATAATATGATATTTTAGAAAATAATTTAATTCTTATGTATTATGCTGTTATCTTGAAAATGTATTATCTATTATAAAATTTAAAGTTAACATGTAAAAAATCTATACTATTACTTAAGAAGTGAATTTAATGTTTGCTGATTTTTCATATTTTTCATGATTTTAGGTAATTTTGATAATTTATCATAACTTATATAATTTATTATATATTTAAAACAAATTTATATTAATAGTATCATATTATTTTTTATTAGAAATTTAAAATTAAGATATAAAAAGTTGTATTTATTCTATAATTGAAATAAATTTACACTTATAATTATGTCGTTATCTTGAAAAAATATTTTTATATTATACAATTTAAAATTAAAATAGAAAATTTATCTATCATTAATTAAGTATAAATCATCACTCAAGAAAAAATATTTAAGAAGTGAATTTGCTGATTCATTAAATTCTCCATAATTTTAGATAATTTTAATTATATGTCATATTTTCTATAATCTTATATAATTATTATATAATTAAAACACTTATCATATTATACTTTTAGAAATTAAATAACTTATGCATTATATTTTATATTTAAAATATGTTTTTCTATTATAAAATTTAAAATTATGATATAAATATTATAATTAAAAATAAATCAAGAAAAATAATTATTGAAATATATTCTTTTAAATATTTTAGATATTTGAGTTTTGTTATTGATAATTATTAGATTTTTGATTTTTACTTTTTGAAAATATAAATAATAACTTATTATGCTGATTTTTAAATTAATGAAACATAAACTAATAAATATTCATAAGAGAATTATGCTCGCAAGTGCGGAAAAAACACCTAGTTAAGAAGTAGGAAAGATTCAAAAAAGTATATTAATCCTTTCAAAAAATTTCAATGATATTTTTTTTGTGAGCAATTTAGCTGAAAAACCAAAGAAGATAGCATAATTAGCAAAATACCAAAGAGAGAAAACTATGTGCTTACGTGTTCAATCATGCGATGGTAAAAAGACATAAACACCCTGCCCGAATTACTTCTTCTCTTTCCAGGTTTAGTTTCAGGTCACAGCTTCTGACAGAAGATCAATAAAAGATTTGGCAAGATAAGAAGAAGATTTGGTGTACAGTAGGATAAGCTGCATCGGTAAGCTCAAAAATTTATCCCCCACAAAAATTTCTGACGCAAAGCACTGTTAACAAAATCTCTCCCAAGATTTCCTAATTTATTTTATATTTTAAGATTATATGTTATATCATAATTCTATATTTACATAATCACATCCAATTATCCATTGCTACATAATTTTAAACCCTATACCCCATTGGAAACCCAGAACCCAAACACTAATTATATAATCCTATAGACAAAATTCTATAGCCTAAAGATAACATGATCCCCAGAACCCTTACGTTAATGAATAGACGAGAACGATAGTGTAAACTAGATAGCCCCGTAAATAATTCGTTATACGGTTATATATCTTCGGAACCGGCTAACAATCATTGTTATCCTTCACAAAATTGTCAATGATTTTGATTTAGCCGGTTACTGATTTAGGTGACCAGCCACTATTGTAATTAGACGGCTAATTGGGCTCTTTCCTTCACCTGATATCGATGGTTAATGTTTGAAATTTGTTTTTAGCCGGTTATTGATATAGGTGACCAGCCACTATTCTAACTAGACGGTCAATTGTGTTCTCTCCTTCACCCGATATCGATGGATATTGTTTGAAATTTTGTTTTAGTCGGTTATTGATATAGGTGACCAGCAACTATTGTAATTAGACGGCCAATTGTGTTCTCTCCTTTCCCTGATATCGATGAGTAATGTTTGAAATTTTGTTTTAGCCGGTTATTGATATAGGTGACCAACCACTATTGTAATTACACGATTTTGATCAAGAATAACTTCCGAACTGTGTTTAGTTGCAACTGCAAATATGATGAGGGCGTTGAAAATTTGTGGTTAACAATCTGGAGGCTACCAAACGTATCGTCCGCTTCTGCACCATCAATTGAAGACACATGTGAAACAAAGCACATGAAGAAAATCCACACTCCCAATTAAATCCATAAATAGAGAGTTGCCAAAAGTACCTCAAAGATCAATCCAATTGGATATGATATATCTCCCAAATCTTCTAGAGAAACTCGGTTTGTCGGAGTTCCATTTCCAAGTTCTATAAATTTTTCAAGAACAAATCGTTTCTAAGTGGTAAAGAAAGAGAAACAAAGATGAAAGTGAAAGAAAATTACTGACAATAAAGATATGAAATATCTTGTGTATCTCTCACTCTTCCATCGAAACATATGCGCTGCCCGTTGGAGTTGGTCAGGTGAAAGAAAAATTAAGAAAAGGATAATAGAGTCATTTAGTTTGTGCACAGTAAGGTGTCTTTTTTCTCTTTGGTATTTTGCAAATTATGGCAAAATTCTTTGGTAGGAGTGCAAATTTCTCTATTTTTTTTTCAGAAATTGTTTTATTCAATATATTAGCCACAAAATTTGAATGTGGAATGGAAAGGGACAGCATGCACACGTGTATAAAATTTTAAATTCTGCTCTTCCTACAGTTAACTTCATCACATAAAAATAACATAATTATCTTAGATTAAAAAACTTAATTTGTGTACCTTTATTTATTTGTAAGGAACTCGGTTAACACAGCTGTTAATTATATTATTTGTTTTCAACCCTTAAATTAAATTATGTACTTAACATTATTATTGTTTGATAGGGTTCACCACAATCTAATGAAAGAGGAAGAAAGAGTAGCAAGGGGAGAAAGGTGGGCATGAAAAGAGGAGAGGTGTTAAAAGAAGACAAAACATTGAGATTGAGTTTCGGGGAACATGCCACCGGCCAATCTTATCTTTGTTTTCTCCACATGAGCAGGTTTGTTTGGTTCACTTCTCTTTTCATAATTTCAACATATATGTTTTCAATCAATGTCATTAAAACTGAATATCTGTAAGATCATATCAACGATCGAATAAAACCGGTTCGACAAATTATATTGCTAAATCATTTCATGTAACTAAAAATACTTTGATTTGATTACAGTGGCTGTATTCACTTGTTTACATATTGCTGTATTCATTGTCCTGGCCTAATTTTGATGATAAATAATTTGAAGAAATAATCTCGTCCCATGTAAGTTTCTCAATATTCGATGGTCTTCCTCATGCACATTTCTTCTCTTCACTAGTATTTTTGTAAAAAAATAAGTTTTTTTTTTTGGTCTAAATGTAAAAAAATTAAGTTAAAAACATGTTACATTTATAATTGGATTTTATTTGGTTTGTCAACTTGGCAAGTACTTAAGCATAAAAATTATCCAAGCAAAAAGTATACATAAAATTTATATTTACATAAGTCGTAAACAAGTAACAGTAACTAATATGAACTATCATATTTTCTAGATCCTGTGTCGGAACAACCATATGTCAGCTTGGGTTTGAAAACATTATCTATAACCCCTTGTCATAAAATCATAATTGAATGGCACAAAACAAAAATCTACAGCTGGAACTGGTAGAACAAGATCATCCCTCTTGATTTTTTCCTCATTTTTCCAAGCAGCTCTTCGTCACTTCGTCTATCGATTTCAGGATCACAACAGATTTGTGTCATACATGTTTACAGTATGAAGACTAATATTTTTTGTTTTTCGGACAAATAATATTTATAAATTCTTGTGAGTGAGAAGGATTCTACCCAACCAGAATCAGTTTAGGGCTACTACTAGTATCTTTCCTACGCCCAACCAGAATCAGTTTAATTGTCCTAATGGTAAGGCCCAATATTTAAAACTCCAGTCCACTTTTGAATATGATGGGTCATTGGGTGTCAGAGCCATATGTAATTAGGATTTGGTTTACTACTCCTTGTTTTACTTATAGTCTCTCGTATTAACTAACATTTTATGGGATGTCACAAGGTCAATGCAATTGTAAGGAAAAATAAAGCTACATGTTTCCATTCAGCAAATCTTACTTATTCGGAGCTTGGCTCAATTCCACTCTCTATTCCTTCAGCAACCCATACTTATCAGACTCTCAAAACTAATTACTTACAGAGTAGCTTTCCACTCTCTATTCCTTCAGCAACCCATACTTATCAGACTCTCAAAACTAATTACTTACAGAGTAGCTTTCTTAAATAATATGAGTTAGAGAATGGTCTTTCCAATGGAAATGTGAAAAGAATTAATTATGATATCAGATTCATGTATGTACATGATTGTATACATGCCTGTCTCAACTATTATATGAACTCTGGACAAAAAAAACTTTTCTTCATATAATTTTTGTTTCTTTTTCAAAAAGAGCCTAATTTAGACTAGAAAAATCGAAAAATAGTGATGAACCATATGCCAATGCACTCCCAGCACATACATAGAGCCGGGGCTGATTGTATAAATAATAAGTACGTGAAAGCACTCTTCAACGAGATTTACAAGCTCCATAGTTAACGTCAACCTAACTTCTTTTTATGTGCATATATGAGACGGTGGCGGGAAGCTTGAAGAAGCAAAATGGTCCCATGCGACGCCGTATCGGAGAAGCTACCTTTCTCCGCCAAAGAATAAAATAAATGTGGTCCGTAGTCTGTTTCGTTTCTGTGGTTTCTATAGTAACACATCACATCAAAATGCTTAATATGGTATGACGTCTAACAACTATTTTACCTGAATTGTCCCATCAGGCCATTTAATACGTGGTAGATTTCTGTCTTCTAATATTAAACTTGTAGCTTTGTGTTGATTAGCATCTATCTTGCAATTTTTTTCATAGTGTCTTTTAATCCTATATCTGTTATTTGATTCATCAATATAATTACCGAAACTGAATTCTTCTAATATTTTTCAGTTTTGTTTTGAATTAAATGTTCATATATAAATTTTGATAGAATAATCTAAAAAACTAAACATTTTCGACTCACACGAAACAAAACGTAAATGCCAAGCCTGCATATTATGGTTTTTGAGTTAGTATATGAAGTATATGTCATTTTCATGAAATTAGAGCTAAAAGTTTGGCCGGCCAACTCATTTTGCTACGATCTGTTACCACTTACCGTTAAGTATCAAAAATTATTAATGGGTATGTACGTATCGTATCACACAGCCATATCTTAAAGGGGTAAGAATATGTGATAAGAATATTCTTTTATTTTATTTTATTAACCATGCCACCTTATTTAAATCTGAAAATAAATGTTGTAATTCATGTTTTTTTAACATGATTACCAAAAAAACAGAAAATAAACAAATGACCTTTTGAACAATCTTTAGGATAAACAGAAAAAACAAGAGAAAGGTTGAAACTCATGAATGAATTATAATTGATTTGAGAATAGAAACACAAAGCTAAAAGGCGATGATTGTCATAATTTAATTTGGCTTTGGAGTATGAATGACGAGCCCCCACACCATTCCTTTGAAAGCAACTTCACACCTACCGTACGTACCTGTGTGTTTAGTTATAGTTAAAATCCTGAGTTAGATATACATAATCATGTTTAGGTCACATTTTGTCTTAATCACGAAGGGGATTGTAAGTACTCTTCCACATACACATATTGTTATTGTCCTTTTGTAGATTGCAAGTACTTCACAAGAATACACATTCATACTCTCTATATATTCACTTCAACTCTCACCAAAATCTGTCACAAATATCATTCTTTTGGAATCTTTTATTTCTTTATCTTTTCTCTCCTTCCCATGCCCAAACAAGAGGAGGCTCTCTTCTCCCGACACTCTCTTCCTGATTCAGAAGATCTCAATCCTAGTCAGCAATGGAAACAGTTAAGACCTCCAGGTTCATCACCGAGGTGACTCCGGCTAAGTTTATATCTGCAACGAGAGAGCCATTCAAGAACATGTTGACCACAATCTCCGAGGACGATTTCGACTTTGAAGAGCTAGTTAGAGCCACTGCAGAGAGACTCTCTTCATCGTGTCCAGGCTTCTCCTCCTGGTCTCTTGGTCACTATGCCAAGACCAACACACTCTCTTCTTCTTAGACCATTTTTTTCCTTCTTTTTTTTGTTCAATAAGACAAAGACCAAAGAAATCATACGTTTCTCGGCCTGGCCATCCTTCAATTTGTTTAAAGAGAATCTATTTGTAATCTCTCAGCTCAGCTGTTTGTTTAATTTTCCATTTACTTTTGGCTTCATTTTCAGTTGTTACATCTTTGATCGATCTTTTAACGTACTATCAACAAACAATCCATCTATTTTTGTTATTATATAACCCACGTTAGTCTGTAAAGCTTAGATAACACATCAAAACTAAAGCCAAGAACACTCTTATATTAGTCTACACTGGACTACGATTTGCATGTGTGAAAGGTTCACTTCATCCATACTGGGGCAAAAGTTCAAAGAAGGCTCAAAATATTATACAGTATGAGATATTTTTTTTCCGTTAAATGTAACAGTTATAAGGAAAAATTAATTCACTTTTTACTCGCACAAAAAATCTCAATACCTCCTCTCTGTATCAACGGGATGCTTCACATATCCAACGGGATGCTTCAAGCAATATGAGCGATGTGATGAAATTGAGCACTGAGGAAAGTGTAGAGGGAAGGGACCAAGTAGAGACTTTAACCGGTTAAACGAACCATGAATGGCTCACGAGTATTTCTTCTTGCCAATTTTTTGGAGTCGGTTCATAAGAACTGCTTTCAATTCATCTGGAATCTGAAGGAAACTTGATTTTACATCTCCTATCAACCTCCTCCTGCACAGGGTCCAAAATGAATTCTAAGAAAGCACGAAGCTACAAGAAGTTAGAACCTTACCTGTGCAAGTTCTATCTTAACATATGAAAAAGTAGGGTTTCACTTACTTTAAGTCGTTACCATCTTCACCATCTCCTCCTGATTGCACTGTACACAATCTCTTCTTAGCATTCGTGCAGGAGTGTACTTGATCATACCAACCACATGACCGTAAAAATGAGGACGCGTCTTTCTTCAGGCTGAGGAAAATATGCAAACACATTCTACGTTAGCTATGTCATCAGATACAAGAAGTTCCTACACAAAGGCACAAACCGAGGTTACCTCTCTTTAATTGCTTCAAGTTCATCCCGAGATGATTCGTCTTTTCTAAGAAAAATGCAGCGGCCTTTCTTTGTTGAAGAGGCCAAGGATTTGGATTGGGTTGTGCTAACACCGTCCTTTTCAATCTCCTGGTGATCAGTTCCATTTCGTGAACCATCATTACTCTTGCATGGATGATGTAAGTTATCCTTTTGATGATCAACCTCATTGCTGGAGCTGTTAGGCTCATGGGGATGCAGTGTCACTTCATTATCATTTACCACTACTACTACCTTGTGCATTGCCGTTTTTTCAACTCCATTGCCACCATTTTCAGTACCGAACTTCTTCTCAGAACACGTGTAAACCCTCATTGCCGAAACAGATCCAATATTCTCTTTGTCCGCATCTAGAGCGATGTTCTGGTCTTGGTAGCCATTGACAGTTGGAGTGACCCTTTTGGAACCAAAATTGGCAGAAGTACTGATATTTGCATGCGACTTCAAAGGAGCCTTTTCAACTTTGGGAGGAACAATGTTACTCTTGTGGAAGGACAGCTCTGCTCGTGTTTTCATGTTAGAATGGGGACGGATAAATTTATAAAGCTTTGAAGAAGACAGGTTATTAACCTTCTGGAAAGTGGACTGCTCCGCTCGTGGATTCATGTTGATATTATTAAGGGGCCCAATAAACTTCTTGGATTCATGTTGATATTATTAAGGGGCCCAATAAACTTCTGAGGCGTTGATGTCTCACATCCATTATCACCACGAGATGTAGTGCCATTGGATACTACCATGAACGGATGAAAAACAGAATATAAGCTTTCTTCGACAAAACTTCTTGCAACGTGGAGGGTGAGACGAATGAATCGTTGCAGCAATACCATCGGCCCGAAGGATTCTACACAAGGCAGTTAAAAACAAAGTCAACAAGCAGTTCAAGAGTTGCAACCTGCTAGAAAACTGAAAGTACAGAAACGAACCTTGACGTATGCATAATAGTGTCCAGATTCAGGAGAAAATCCAGAATGCACAATGATCCCAAAAAGCTTGTATTCTGGTTGAAGGTCCTAAAGTTTTAAAAGAGTAGACCGATTAAGAAAATAATTGGGAAGTACAATTACATTGGAACTAGAAAGAATTCACAAGCTAAAGTCCAATCATGATATGATTTCAAAGAAGCATCAATTTGAAATAACAAAAAGATACAACAAACTTGAAATATAATTTAAAGTTTCTGAATCTTGTACCTTGCTTGCTTTACTCATGAAGGTTGAGAGAACCAAAATCTCACCAAATGTAATCGCCTTATCAATCTTCCGACCAAACCTCTGATAATATTTTCACCAAATAACATTTAATATATGTCTACTTAGAATAACACTTAACAGAAACACAACATACTTACTTTCAATTGGACAACAAGAATATTAGGAGCTTGAAGTACTGACATCTGCTTCCTCGCTGTCACTAGTTTCTTACAAGTTACAACTAACCAAATAAAAAAAAAGTATGTTAGAAAACAAAATTTGAAACATTCTGAAACACAAAGACCTACTCACCTTTCACATTTATACTTATTGCTGCCATCTAAAATCTCTGACTGAAAGAACTTCTGCATCGAATCCTTCACCGAGTTGCTATGCAAAATCCCAAGACTAACATCCATAATCTCATCAACCTTACTAGACTCCGCACCGCACAGCAAACACTTCACCTGGCTGGCTGGCTCTCCAGAGCACCACCAAAAATCTCCTTAACAACACTATTATCGTTACTAGACTCACCTTTTGTTCGCAGCTTCTTTAGACGGAGAGACGTATTGTGGCAAGCCGCAAAAACTCATGAGCGTCCTCTTGACGCCCCAATTTAAAATGCTCAGCAAAAACTTTGAGGCAGTTTAAAATCCTGTTTGGCGCATCGGTTGCTTGATCTATACTAAGAGACCTTGCGATTCGCTTCTCAATTAAGCAAAATGGTCAGCCTCGTTTCCTCTCCCCATTTACATATGCATCGCCTATCAAAATTCGAACAGAGAGAGAGAGCAACTTCGTCATAATCTACAATACTAAAACCTATATGAAACTTATGAGCAGCTTCATAGTAACAGATCATCTAATAAAACTAATAAGCGATTTGATCAGATCGGCTAAACCTAATGGAAGCTACAAACGAATTTATGAGCAACTTCTTCGTAACAGATCATCTGATTTAACTAATACGCGAAATCAAATCAAATCAGCTAAACCTACTTATGAGAAACTTCATCGTAACCGATCATCTAATATAACTAATAAGTGATTTGATCAAATCAAATCGGCTAAACCTAATGGAAGCTACCTAAGAACGAAATCTTAGAGGAAGTAGAGAGGCTTACAGTGGGAGGAGTGAGTGTGAGTAAGGCAATGATTGGCGAAAGGAGGAGTGTAGGTGAGGCACTGAAGGACGCTGTTGAGGTAGCAGGTGTTGCCTAGGTTCCGTAACCCTAAGGGAGGACCGTTCCTACGTTTCTGACGGAGTAGACTCGGCATCATCCGAAGTTTAATTCTCATTGAAATCGGTTCTCCTTCGAAGGAGAAGGACGTAGAAGCAACCGCTCATCGCTGACTCGCCGCCGAGGCGAAGCCAACAGATGCGATCGCATCTCTTTACGCTACGGCGAGAAACAAAGCGTTTTCCCGCTTCTATTGCTCGCTAATTCACGAGCTTAAGGCTACTCTATGGAAGATTTATTGAATTCGACTTCGTTGGTGGTAACTGCCGAGGGGAGTGACCCACCCACCCAACAATCTCTTGCGAGTTGCGACTTGCGAGGCTTTCTTTAATTTTTAAATAAAATTTCCAGGTAGAAGAACAAAAAATGAAATCCGGTTAATGGGGTGTTACAAAAAAAAAAAAAAATCCGGTTAATGGGCTCTTTCACGGGCTGTAGATGCGCTTTTATTCACTTAAAAGCCCAATAATTTGATTTATAAGCTTATTTTTTTTGTTTTTTTGGGGGGCTGGTGGTGGTTGTGGTTGTGTGTGTAGGGCTTGTAGGCATTGTACATATCCCCTATACCCCTATATATTATTTGAGAATCATTTAAAAATTTGTAACCTTAAGTTTGTAAGAATTAAAAATAACCTCAATCCTACGCGGCATAGCTCTTTGGTTCTATTTCAAATCCCAAGGATTCTAGAGCATATGATATAATGTAAGTTTAAAAATTATATTCTCTAGCAATATAATATTATGTAGGCTATAGTTGGTCGCATATATCAAATATTTATTGTTTCGCATGATTTCCTTAAATAAAACCTACGGAATTACCTAATGTGATCAAAATATATATATGACAATTAATGATTTTAAACAATAAAGATTTGATAACAATCTGTATACTTTTTTTGATTTTGTTTATTCTTTATTATTAAAATAAATTACACAATTACATTAATCATATAATTAAAATCTAGATTTTTTTGTGTATGTTGTATTTCGAATTTTTTAAAATGAGTATAAATTACTAAAACTGTTAAAAGTCCCACATAAACTTTTAAGATCAAGGTTTTAATTTTTTTTCTATACTAAAATATAATGATTATAAGACCATATGAAGAAATAATTTTAGTTTAAATGTATTTAATATCCTTTTAATTAAACTATACATCGTATTAAAATACATACTTATATTTTGATATTTTCCTTGAACATATATTGAAAAGTTAATATTTTAATTTTGAAATATGTCATTGTTTTTTTAAAATGATTATAAATTATTGAAACTACTAAACATCTCACATTAAAAAAAAATTCGTTGGTAGAAACCTCATTTAATAAATATCCATATTAAAAGTGTGTTATATTACTATGTTTATATCATTTAAATTTAATTATATATCATATACAATATATAAGATTGATTATTTTGATTTATTTACCCTAATTGTGAATAAACATGAGTAATAGTTAAATTTATATGCATACGCCAATTTATTACATAATAGTAACTGATTTCTTAGTTATTTAATATATATTTATTATTTTCTTATTTATAATATGCAGAAAAATATAAAATAAATAATAAATATAAAATAATTATTGTGCATAAAGTGCAGATCTTAACCTAAGTATGTATCTCTTTAATTATTTTAAATCTTAAGTATTTTCTAAAACAAACGAAATGAGAATAAAATTCAAAATAAATATTTATATCGAGTAATAACCAAAATATAAAAAAAACATAGCAAGAGAAAAATGGAAGATAAATACGACTGACACGTGAACGTGAACTTCTCATAACCATAATTAATTTTTAAATGGTTAAATCATGATATAAAACTGAGTTAATTTTTAATTTGTTAATTTGTTAATTTTTTAATTTTTTAAATCATTATGGTTATGTTAAATCATGACCATAATTAATTTTAAATTGTTTATATTTATTTGAAAAACTTAAAATATTGTTTTTAAAAATAATTTAAAATTTAACATAATTTTTTATAAATTATTTTAAAAAACAATAATTTTTGAAAAATATAATTTTCTAATATTAGTAGACAGATAAATAAATTATATTAAATTAGTTTTGAAACTTTATATATTCTAAATGCAAATATTGTACCAATTGTTTCTTAAAAAACATTAGGGAACTTGCTAATACTCTACCAATCAACCCCAGTGACACTCCATTTATTTTCCATCACTCGAACACTTAAAAGTGAAAAGATATATGAAATCAGATCCATTAAATTATAAGATTTGATCTACATTTCTAACTAAAATTGTTTCTGATCCTGCGTATAGATAATTATATAAAAATTTCAAAATTCTTAAATTTTAAATACATACAAAAACAATCATATGTAAATTTTAAATTTGTCTATACTAAAATTTTATATTTTAATTACATATATTCACATTTTTTCCTAGTCAATAATTAAAAGATCAAAAAACATTTTTTCTAAAGATTTCAATGTGGAGTATCACCATTGGAGGTGTTCAGAGTGAAGTAGTAGTCAGTTTAAAAATAAAAATAAAATTCGTTGGTGATTTGGTAGGATTTGGTTTGGTTTTTAGATTTTTCGGTCGGGGTTGGTTTGGATCTTGGATTTCGATTTTTTTGGCCAGACCTAAGTTCACCAATCCACCCACACTTGGATATATGCCGGGTCAGAAAGAAAGAAAACCAATTGGTTTATGATATATTATCATCTTCCCCTCGAAATTGTGAACGATAGATAATACGAAGGAAAAGTTAACGAACACACACAAGTTGCTTGTGGATCAGACACAGACCCATCTGATATTTGTCCGTATCTCCTCGTTCATTCTTCACCTCCAACTTCTCATCCATATATATTATTTTTCCCAACTTGACAACAATCTTTACACTATTAACAAATCAATACATGACAAGTATTTAACATATCAATATAAAACGTTTTGATATATATATATAGTATAATATAAGCTCCCGTTACAGCCACCTTTCATCTCTCTCGAGAGCTTCATCACCATCAAGGTGAGTGAGATTACGTGTTAAAGCCACACAGAGACTTGGTGTCTGAAACTCAAAGCCTTTTTTTATACTCTTTTGACAGATTAGCATCAGAAGATGGAGATCACAAACGTTACAGAGTATGAAGCTATTGCAAAGGAGAAGCTGCCTAAGATGGTATACGACTACTATGCGTCTGGTGCAGAGGACCAATGGACTCTTAAAGAAAACAGAAACGCTTTTGCAAGGATCCTGTGAGTTATTGTTTAAAGATATTATACTCTCTTTTTTTTGCTATATGCTTTCACAAGAGATGTGATTTAATATATAATATATTTGGGATGTTGTAACAGCTTTCGTCCTAGGATTCTGATTGATGTGAGCAAGATTGATATGACAACAACCATCTTGGGGTTCAAGATCTCCATGCCCATCATGGTTGCTCCTACTGCCATGCAAAAGATGGCTCACCCGGAAGGTAAAAAAAAAATCTCACAGAAACCAGAGTTATGTAGATAGTGAAAACTTGCTTTAGTATCGCTAGAGATAAAGATTAAGGATTTTTCTAATGGAAAATAATACAGGGGAATATGCTACTGCTAGAGCTGCATCTGCTGCTGGAACCATCATGGTATGTAATAATATTGTCACAATAGTTTCATCATGGTATGTAATAATCTTGTCTCCGGTTGAATTATTTCTATCATGATGTTTCAGACCCTTTCTTCATGGGCTACTTCCAGCGTCGAAGAAGTTGCTTCCACAGGGCCAGGGATCCGATTCTTCCAGCTCTATGTAAGTTATCTAAGCAGCTTGCTGTACAACCTGGTCACATTTGTTGGTTTAAACGAGTGATGAATGTTCTGTGTAGGTATACAAGAACAGGAAAGTGGTTGAGCAGCTAGTGAGAAGAGCCGAGAAAGCTGGGTTCAAAGCCATTGCACTCACTGTAGACACTCCAAGGCTAGGTCGCAGGGAGTCTGATATCAAGAACAGGTAAAGCCACGTCTATTGCAGTGTGTTAAGAGTTTGGTTAGATTAGAACATGAAAACAGATAGCTAAGTCTCCTCTTATAGATTCACTTTGCCTCCAAACTTGACATTGAAGAACTTTGAAGGTCTTGACCTTGGAAAGATGGACGAGGTAAGCATCCATCAAATCATATATATATCAAATACAAGAAGTGTTCCACTATTATTATTATTGTATTGATAAGTAGTGTTCCACTATTCTTTCCTAATATTTTCTTTAACTTGTTATGGTTATTACCTGCAGGCCAATGACTCTGGCTTAGCATCATATGTTGCTGGTCAAATTGACCGTACCTTGAGCTGGAAGGTATAAGGATACAACAAATCATAAGATAGCATAGAAAAACCGAGTAGTTGGGAACAGAATCTTGATTCAGACTTCACTAACTTTCATGTACAAACAGGACGTCCAGTGGCTCCAAACAATAACAAGCATGCCAATTCTTGTCAAGGGTGTTCTTACAGGAGAGGATGGTGAGTTACAATCTGACAAACACTTCAGTTTCATAAGAATATTTTACCAAATCCACTGTTATTTGTCCCTCATGCAGCAAGGATAGCTATTCAAGCTGGTGCAGCAGGGATCATTGTGTCAAACCATGGAGCTCGCCAGCTTGACTATGTCCCAGCCACAATCTCAGCCCTTGAAGAGGTGGAGATCATTCTCAACTACAAACATCAATTTCTTTTTTGAAGAAGTGTTTATGTACTACAATTTCCATCACTGTGACACTGTCCATCATGTGTTCAGGTTGTTAAAGCGACACAAGGACGAGTTCCTGTCTTCTTAGATGGTGGTGTTAGACGTGGCACGGATGTCTTCAAGGCACTTGCACTTGGAGCTTCAGGAATATTTGTAAGCATCATATTTCTCTATTAATGTACCAAAAAGCCACTTGAAACCATTGACACAGTATGTTTACTTGGGCCTTAATCTCAGATTGGAAGACCAGTGGTATTCTCTCTTGCTGCTGAAGGAGAAGCTGGAGTCAGGAAAGTGCTTCAAATGCTACGTGATGAGTTTGAGCTAACCATGGCGTTAAGTGGGTGCAGGTCTCTCAGTGAGATCACACGTAACCACATTGTCACAGAGTGGGAAATTCCACGCCATTTGCCTAGGTTATAGAGGCAAAAACAAAGAAACAGAGAACAGCAATAACACAGAGCTAAACCTAATGAGATTCTGATTGGTGACTTGGCTTCTACGTTACCATTTATCTCAAAAACTTGTTTTCTTGCTGTATTGAACTTACAAAAACAATGACTGGAGATTCTGTGTACTGCTATTTGGCTACTTCTATAGCTTCAGTCCATTTTTCATCCTTGTAGCAATGCTATTTGGAGATTCTATGTAATGCTATTTTTGGATTTTTAGAACATTTCTATTGGTAATATTTCAATAAAATTTCAAAAATATATATTATTATCTCTTGTAAAGATTTTCTTCTCTAAAAAGTAACAATTAATGGCTTACAAATTACTAGGAACACACAAAGTTGCTTGTGAATTAGACAACACACAATCTATCTGTGATCTCCTTATCCATTCTTCACCTTTAGAATCTCATCCACATCAGTTTCTACTGCCAAAACTTTTTTCTACTATCAAAAAAGTAATAATATTCACAAGCTAATTAAAATCCATCACAAAAATGTATTTTAGCTTTTAACCAAATAAAGAAAAAAATGAGATATATAAAATTCTATAAGGTTTCATTGCCGGTCACAACCATCATCGAAAAATGGAGATCACAAACGTTGCCGAGTATGAAGCTATATATTGCAAAGGAGAAGTTGCTTAAGATGGTGTACGACTACTATGCCTCTGGAGCAGAGGACCAATGGACTCTTCAAGACAAGATAACAGTTACGTTACTGGTTTTACAAGCGATGTGGGTTTCATATAACATAACTTTGGGATGTTGTAACAGCTTTCGTCCTAGGGTTCTGATAGATGTGAGCAGGATTGATATGACAACAACCGTCTTAGGTTTCAAGATCTCTATGCCTATCATGGTTGCTCCTACAGCCATGCAAAAGATGGCTCACCCAGAAGGTACGTAGAGAATGAGAACTAGTTCAAAGACTAAGACTTAGCTCTAACGACTGATGGAAACTAATATAGGAGAATATGCTACGGCTAGAGCAGCGTCTGCTGCTGGAACCATCATGGTATGTTTAACTACATCATTACAAAAGTTTCTTAAACTTTCGTGTTTGGAGTTTATTCATCCTTAATTCCATGCATACCCATGTCTCCGGTTTGAGTTGTTCCTTGATGTTTTCAGACATTATCTTCATGGGCTACGTCCAGTGTTGAAGAAGTTGCTTCCAGAGGGCCAGGGATTCGATTTTTTCAGTTTTATGTAAGTAACCTTTGCCACTTCCTCCCTTTGTTCCACAATGTTTTATCCGAAGCACAAAAATTAAGAAACTTAACTTTTTAAAAGATAACATCATTGATAGTATAAATTTAAAATAAATTAACCAATCATAAATAATAAACTAAAATACTATTGATCAACCGGTTTTCTATAAAGTTAAAAGTACCTTAAAAATATCAAAACATCTTATATTTTGAAACATCAATTTTCTCTAGAACATCTTATATTATGGAACAGAGGGAGTATAACAAAGTGGCTGTAGTATAGTGGTAAGTATTCCACGTTGTGGCCGTGGAGACCCGGGCTCGAATCCCGGCAGCCACACTTAACTTTTTTATCTCCTTTTTAAACTTTCATTCAAAAACAAAAAAAACTTTGTCACTTGTGGTACATCCTGATGAACCTGGTCTACACTATTTAGTTACCACTTTATGATTGTGCTGTGTAGGTATACAAGAATAGGAATGTGGTTGAGCAGCTCGTGAGACGAGCCTAGAGGGCTGGATTCAAAGCCATTGCTCTCACTGTGGACACCCCAAGACTAGGTCGAAGAGAGTCTGATATCAAGAACAGGTAAAGCCACGCTGACTAAAATTGTAAGAAAAGTCATTAACATACAAATATATAGCCAGAAAGTTCAAACCGCTATGGGTTCTTATAATACAGATTCACTTTGCCCCCAAAACTTGACGTTGAAGAACTTTGAAGGTCTTGACCTCGGAAAGATGGACAAGGTAAGCATCCATCGGATATACTATCCAGAATTATAGTCTGAGTAAGTAGTGCTCTAAAAATCAGTTTAGGCCACGGACAAATTATAATTTTTATTTTTTTAGAAATATCGGTCTAGACATCCACCTGACCAATAATATCCTACAGAATGCATAATTACCTGTTAAAGATTTCTTGAACATTGGTCACAAGAAATTATAAAACGAGTCTTAAAAGCAGGTTTGTGATGTTTACGTTTCTTGAGCTTGTTCTGTTTCCACATGCAGGCCAATGACTCTGGCTTAGCATCATATGTTGCTGGTCAGATTGACCGTACCTTAAGCTGGAAGGTACGAGAGTTCAATAGTTGAAAAGATAAACACCAAGTCGAGTTTCGATCAAAAACTTGATTTAGGACAGCTCTAACTTCCATTTACACAAACAGGATGTCCAATGGCTTCGTCAGACAATCACCAAAATGCCTATTCTTGTCAAGGGTGTTCTTACAGGAGGAGAAATAGTTATAAAGATTCTAGAGAAAGATTTAGTGATCTCTTTGGTGTAGTATTTTTATCACTTCTTCCTTGAAATTGCTTCTGCTCTTCCTTACGTTTTCCTTTTTAGAATAGTATAGCCAAACGGATTGATCCCAGAAAGAAGGGAAGGCTTTACATATTAAACTTCAACTTTAGTCACATTGTGACAAAAAAAAAAAAAAAAAAAAAAAAAAAAA